ACCAGTGAAGGCTGAGGTATTTCAAACTAAAGTAGTTGTTCCAAAAACACAGTCAATTTTGGCTAACAGCTAATGGAGATATGCATGTCTTTATTTAAAATGACTGAATCAAATATGAGCCTTTTTGGTGTCTGTTGGAATAAAAATTTAATGTTAAATTTAGTAATTTCTGCTTGCATAGTTTTGAGGATATTATCCTTTTCCACCATTTGCAGATTGGCCAATAATTCAGAAAATGTGGGGATAAAAGGTTTACTTTTCTCCACGTTTACTAAAAATTCTGTTCAGCTTTCCATCGAATCTTTAAATACTGGATGTTCTTGTTTGTTTACCTGAGTATTGCATAAACTTGGAGTTTAGATTGTGAACTTGCAGGGTGATGGTTATTTATGTTTATGAGGGAATGGGTTGTTGGAATTGTTCCTCTTTGGGAATATTGGGTTGAGTATATGAGCAAGACTCCATGAGAGACTAACTGAAAGAGAGTCGTGAAAGGCTATCTGCTGTTGTGCTGCCAACGTTCCCATTTTGGCAATTGGAGTTTGGAGGATGACAAAGATATCCTTGGGTTCCCACCACACTCTGCCTCCATTTTCTTCCTCTTGTTGCACCATGCATAGGTTCACCCAGTTGGTAGAGGAAGTACTTTCAGTGCTACTTTTGTTGAGGATAGGAGGAGGTGAGAATACTTACTGCTTTCACTTCATTGAGAATTTGTGACTGACTCTGTATACCACAGATCAGGGTCTTAACCTTAGAAATAAAAACAAACCGTGTCCCATGTAATGAACATTGTACAAACAATGCAAAATATTTCTGTATAAAAGTTGGGTATACAAATGAAAAAAAAGTATATTGCTTCCCCTCGCATGATACATCCATACTTGGAAATTAAATATTTTTGAAATTCGGGTTTCAAAATTCATTGCATTGAACACAATCTAAATTGCACATACAAGTGAGGTATGCTCCAGTGCAAATAAAGCTGAAATTCAAGTAATTCTTTAGTTCCTATATTTTTCAAAGTTAATGGTGGCTTTGTTTTGAACTAGGTAAAAACAAGCAGTTCACCTTAGGGGTCTACAGCAAAGCAAGCTGATATCACAAGTCTCACGATTTCTAGGAAGCTTTACTTTTTTAAAAATTATTCAAATCTACAGTGAACTTTCAATGACCTCTCCTTTAAAGTTACTATAACAGGTATTTTCACAAAACTTGCAATAAAATATATTTTTTAACAACTTCTCAAAACACTAGTTCTCTAAGCAGTATTAAATATAAAGTTTTTCTTAGTGCAAGTTAAAACTAAGTAAATGTATAACGCAATTTTTTTTCCCCACATGATAGGTCTTTCCTCTAGAATAATGATGCCAGGTGGTGTGTAGGTTTTTTATATTGTTGGAACTTGCAGTTTCAATCTTTGACGGGCTTTGTAGTACTGTACTGCAATTAAATGGGTCTCACTTGTCAAATGCTATCAAACCAGTGCATCAATGTGCTACATTAATTAAAATTAAAGGCAGTTACACTATTGGGTTAACCAAAAATTAACTTCAATTACTTGACCATAACTAAACTAAACTGAAACTAATTATTAAACATGAGCTTCCTGATACTTGCTGTAAAGAACATGTGAGGGCCGTGATGGAATGTTTGCACTTGTCTGGATGAGTGTTGCTCCAACAACACTTGAGTATGATGTGGAGATGCTGGTATTGGACTGGGTTGGACAAAGTCAGAAGTCACACGACACCAGCTTATAGTCCAACAGGTTTATTTGAAATCGCAAACTTTTGGAGTGCTGCCCCATCTTCAGGTGAAGTGGAGGGAAGCGCAGAATTTGTAGGCGGGGAGGTCATTGCAAAGTAATTCCAGGATATTAAGCGTGTCAAAAGATAGTACCAATGGTGTAAGTGAAGTGTAAACAGGCTGTATAACAAGTTTTTGCAGGTGATCGTGAGTGTCAAACTGTGAGTAACGTGTCAATAGCTGCATAGCAAGTGAAGGGATGACCTATGATCTGATTAATTGAGGCAGAGAGATAATTACAGAAAAGGAAAACTAAGATAGTGTTCGAGACAAACCAAAAGGCTGGAATAACATGATAGATGTAAGACTCGCATGATGAGGGTCTAACCAAAGAAACAAGTAATCCAAAAATGTACAAACTGAAAGATTTTACAAACACAGAACAGTATGGTGGAGTTATATGTAGTGTGAAATGAACCCAAAATCATGGTTGAGCCTGTTTTCATAGGTATGGAACTTGGCTATCCGTTTCTGCTCAGCAATTCTGCGTTGTTATGTATCTCGAAGGCCACCTTGAAGGAAGCTTACCTGAAGATCAAAAGGTCAATGTCCTTGACTGCTGAATTGTTTCCCCGACTGGGGGGAAACTCTCCTGTGTGGTGATTGTCCAAGTATCTGCATGGCCTCGCCGATATACCACGCCTCTGGGCATCTCTTCATGCAATGTAGGAGGTAGACAACATTTGCCAAATCATATGAGTACCTACCATACATGTGGTGGGTGGTGTTCCCACGTGTGATGGTAGTATCCATGTCAATGATCTGGCATGTCTTGCAGAGGTTGCCTTGGCAGGATTATGTGGTGTTATGGTCACTATTCTCCTGAAGGGTGGGTAGTTTGCTGTGAATGATGGTCTGTTTGAGGTTTGATGGTTATTTGGGGGCATAGGGATTGCCCTGGCGAGATGTTTATCGTCATGAATGCCATGTTGAAGGCTGTGAAGAACATGGCGTGGTTTCTCTGCTCTGGAGAAGTACTGGACAATGAAGGGTACTCTATCAGTCGTGTCCCGTGTCTGTCTTTTGAGGAGGTCATTGTGGTTTTTTTGCTGTGGCACATCGGAACTGGCAATTGATGAGTTGAGCATCGTATCCCATACTTACGAGGGCGTTTTTCAGTGTCTGTAGGTGTCACTTGCATTCCACCTCGCCTGAGCAGATCCTGTGTATATGCAGGGCTTGTCCATAGGGGATGGCTTCTTTAACATGTTTAGGGTGGAAGCTGGAGAAACAAAGCATCGTGAGGTTATTCATGAGCTTGCAGTAGAGTGAAGTATTGAGGTGTCTGTCCTTGACGGAGATGCATATGTCCAAGAATAAGACTGATTCTCAAGAGTAGTCCATGGTGATTCTGTAGGTGGCATGAAACTTGTTGATATTGTCATGCAGTCATTTCCGTGATTCCTTATCATGAGTCCAAAGGAAGAAAAAGTTGATGTAGTTGGTGTGTAGCATTGGTTGGAGGTCTTGTGCAGCAAAGAAGTCTTGCTTGAACTTGTGCATGGAAATGTTGGCATAATGGGGTGCAAACTGGTTCCCATGGCTGTGCCCTGTGTCTGGATGAAAAACTGGTTGTCAAAGGTGGAGACGTGATCGAGAATGAAGCGAATGGGTTGTAAAATCTTCCTTACTGTTCTGTTTTGACACCATCAGCTTGAGAACTTGTTATAATCTCTCTACCTTAATTAGTTTGTACAATTTTGGATTACTTGTTACTTTGGTTAGAGCCTCATCATGTGACTCTAATATCTATCATGTTATTCCAGCCACTTGGTTTGTCTGTAGCACCATCTTATTTTTCTTTTTGCCTCAATTGGATCATAGATCAAACCTTCACTTGCTATGCAGCTGTTGACACATTACTCACACAGTTTGACACTCTTGATCACCTGCAAAAACTTGTTATTCAGCCTGTTTACACTCCACTTACACCATTGGTACTATCTTTCGACATTCTTAATATCCTGGAATTATCTTGCAATGATCTCCCCGCCTATTCTGTGCTTGTGTGCTTTCCTCCACTTCATCTGACAAAGGGGCAGCGAACAGAAAGCTTGTGATTTCAAATAAACCTGTCGGACTATAACCTGATGTCATTTGACTTAATACTTAAGTATGATTTCATCCAAGGCAAAACTGTCCCCAACCACCACTTTTTAATCATTCACTCTATCAACAACGTACCCTGGCTGAAGTGTCCACCATCTGCAAGATGCATTGCAACAACTACCAAGTTTAACTTGGATAGCACTTTCTAAACCCTCAACCTTCATCCCAAGAGCAGCAGATGCTTAAGAATGTTAATATCTGTGAATTTCCTGCTAAATGATGCTCTGAGAAATCTGTTACCATTCCTTCATTGTTTTTGGATTAAAATCCTGCAGTTACTGTCCTAACAAAATTGTGGTTATATATTAATAGCACGTGGACACAATGGTTGAAGAAGTCTGACTGTTACCACCTTCTCAAGGGAAATTAAGTTTGGACATGATGTCTGATTGGATGGGAAAAGTGAAGTGTATTCTACTGTGCTCCTTGTTGTTAGGCTTTAGAGAGTCAGGTAGAAATTCTGTTGTCACACAAAATAATACCTCTGAGTTGCCCTTGTAGGTCTTGTGATCACCACTGACAAGAGACACTAGATATACTTGCGGTGATTGCAATGATGGTACTGTCAGTAATCTGAATGTGGTTAGTGTCTGTAGAGATGGTCATTGCCTTCCAATTCAAATGCTATATTTTATGTTACTTCTCTTTTATATGTTTCTATATTCTACGTTTGGAATGAATTCCCAGCATTGTTCAAGCACCTGAAAGTTATCTGCAGTTCAAACTCTGACATTATATACTCCAGTATTTGGATTTTTCAAGGAACCTGTACAATTTCTAGCTTGCAAATGAAACGTTCAGCAGTTCAAGCTTTTCTTAAGTGTTTGATACTTGTAATCAATGGTTCATTTCTTCTCACCTGTGTTAACCCACTTCCCCTTTGTGTTGTGTAGGTATAAATGTCCTGTTGAGATTACACATAGTGGAAACTATTAAAGTGTAACAATAGTCTCCCACGCAGCATTATCTTTTTAGATGAAGAACCACGCTATTGTATTGTTGTATTTTAGCTGTGTTCTAGTTTAACAAACAAATATAAGCTGCCTGCTGCTTCTGTTTCATTACTGTTTATTGGGTCCATTGAAACTGTATGATGTGGTATCATGCCTAATCAATACCTTTTAGACTATGTCAAACAAACACAGAATACTGGAACGATTGAGGTGTGGCAGTATCTGTAGAGAGAGAATCAAAGTTAATATTTTGAGTCCAGTTATGACTGCTCTTACTCTAAGACATGATCTATTTGTTTCAGATTTCCAGCATCTGCAGTATTTTGCTTTCCTTTGGGCTATATCCTCTGTTCATTTGTGTTTAGAGTATTATTCTTAAGGTAACACCTTGGCAGCCTTAGGCTCCGTGTGTTATTTATTCTCTTCTTATTGAGTCCTGTTTTTCTTGCAAAGGTGCTTCTTTTGTGAGAGGTGAAGTGAATTAAATAGTGTATTAATAATTCAGATTCATTAAGAATTCCTTCAACCACATTGAGTGCTTCCAAGTTTCAGCTGACTGCTGCAGAAAGGCTCCTATCAGCTCTGGTAACTCTACTGGCAGATTCAGTGTTTGAAGAGACATTCAATCACTTTGTCTCATGCAGACCTGCAGTGTCTGAGCCCTGTAGCCATATCTCCCACTTTAACTTGGGGCTTCGCTAGCGTATCAATAAAACTGCTGATATTTTTCTCCAGAAATTTACACACACACCCTTGCCCTGTAGCTTCTTTGTAAGACTTGTCCAGGAAGGTTGAAACAATGGCATGTTGCCATTGCATGCAATTATCTGCCAGAAGAAAGCAGTGCACTCAAATACATTTCCCAATACAACCACGAATGTTAGAAAGAATAGTTGTCCCTAATCTAATTTCTACCAATTTCTATGACTTTCCATGACTGTTTTCTTCTTGAAAATCTTAACTAAGGCTAAACTTTGCATTGCTATTGTGCATAATTATTCTTCTTTGCATTGTTTCCTTAGCACTTCACAGAGATGTTGGATGAGCTTTCCAAGGATATGCTGGGTCACCTTTTCAATGATCCTTTTCTTTCGGACAAAAGTGAGCTGATGGATGCAGAACTGTCGCCTGCTCCGCACATTCAAGCTGAGCACAGCTACTCCCTGGCAGGTGACTCCCGACCGCAGTCTCCACTCACACAGATCTCGACTGAAGAGGACTTTAGTGAAGGTATTCATGTGACATCTTTGTTTCAGAGTTTGGTTTGCACTTTTAAAAACTAGTCTCAATTCATTTTTTAAAAAACGCCCCGCTTTTAATTTGTGCTGGAAGTTGCTTTGTGTGCTTGTTTACAAATTGGAACTATTTTGAATAATCTAATTCTACATTGTAGAACATTATGTGGGAGTTGTACTAGTAGAACTGGAATATATTCAAAATAAGCTTGCGGCCTCCAGTAGTAAAGTCCTGCATCTGCATGAAAGTGCTTAATAGGTGTCATGACATTACTCTGGATTCCATTTTGGAGAAGGTCACATGCATTTACTTGTCAAAAACTAAACATCCATCCAGAAGGCCTATCGAATGAACTACAACAGACACAAGAAGCTCCAGGACCGAACTTGGGGTTTTGCCAAGTTTTCCGAGCTCAGTTGGCCTTCAGGTGAGGGTCACGTATTGACCTCCAGGCTCTGGTTTAACAAGTAAAAAAATTGAGCAGGGTTCCTTTCTGTTGATACTGTCCAGTGACCCGTGCTTCCAAAGGACAGGATTTGGTTGAGCTATAATGGTCCATTTGGTTGAATAACCTGATGATAAGTTCTTTTGTAGGCTTAAACTTGGAAATGATGATATTCAATTTTGGCCTTCTACAGGGAATAGGTGGCACTGATTTTGTGAGCAGCCTGATTTCTGTAATATTTTACAGAAGTAGATCTCTTCCAGTCTAGGAGAGTAAAATCTGAGTCAGATCTTGTTTCATGGTTCAGCAGCATAGCCAAATAAGGAAACTGATTTTATTTTCTTCTTTATTCCCATACTCCTCTACTACGAGAAGTAAAGTAACATATCTTGGGTGCTTTATGTTGAGGTCTTGTTTAACTTTTTATAGGAATTTAACAGATTGCTGGGTGGTGTGTATGACCAATTGTATTGTTAAAGTTAATCCTTATTCTCCGTCACACCTGAGAATGAATATTTCTGTTTGGTAGCTCAGCAGAAGAGTGGTGAGCTGCAGGACATCTTTTTATAACAGTTATTTGTTACAAGTCAATGAGAATTCCTAGACTTTGATGATAATCACTTACTGGTGGTGATCTCCCAGGTACACAATTGACTGCTACTGGGAGCTTCCAAACTGAGCATGGAATTTTTGAAGCATTGAAATAGTCATTTAAAGGCCCCCAATTTGAAATAAACAGAGGGACAGGAATTAAATATATTCAATACAGGGTCAATAATGTAATGGTTGTCCCCCATTATACTAAAGGTGTTTGGGTGATAGATTATCCTGGATTCCATTTCTGCAAAAGTCCCTAATTGCCCTGGAGAAAGTAGTAGTGAACTGCAGTGGGAGTCACTGCAGGTTGTTTGGAATAGGCACATCCTCAGTGCTGTTAGGAAGGGGATTCCAGGATTTTGACCCACCAACATTGAAGTAAAGGTGAAATATCTCCAAGTTAGGATGGTGAGTGGCTTTGATGGGATCTTGAAACTAACAGTGTTCCCATCTATCTGCTACTTTTGGCCTTCTAGATGGTATTGGTAGAGGGTTTGGAATGTGCTGCCAAGGAACCTTAGTTAATTTCAGCAGTGTATCTTGTAGATAGTGTATATACAGTTGCTACTGAGTATCAGTGGTGGGGGGAATGAATGTTTGTGAATGTAGTGGCAATCAAGTGGGCTGTTTTGTCCTAGGTGGTGATGAGCTTCGTGTTGTTGGGGTTCCACCCATTCAGGCAAATTGAGAGTGTTCCATCATACTCCTGACTAATGTTCCCTCTAAGCTGCTCTGACATTCTACACCCATGGAAGTCACTGCTGCACACTGACCTCAGCTTTATGCAGAAGACAAAAGAGGAATGCTGCTCTTAATTTGTGCCTTGTAGATGGTGGACAGGCTTTGGGGTGTCAGGACGTGAGTTATGACTCCATGATTACCAACCTCTGACCTGCCCTTGTAACCACAATATTTAAATGGCTTGTCCAGTTCAGATTCTGGTCAATGCTAACCTCCAAGGTAGTTGTTAGTATTGGATTTAATGATGGTACTGCTACTGGATATCGAAGGGTGATTGCCTACAGCTGGAAATAGTCATGGCCTGCCATTTGTGTGATACAAATGTTACTTGTTGCTTATCTACCCAAATCTGGATATTGTCCAGGTCTTACTGCGTATGGATAACTTCTGTACCTGAAGTGGTGTGAGTAATGGTGAATGTTGTGCAATCATCAACAAATGTTCCCACTTTTGACCTTTTGATGGGAGGCAAGGTCATTGATGAAACCACTGCAAATGGTTGAGCCTAGGGTACTGTCCTGAAGAACTCTTGAACCGAGGTGACTGACCTCCAACAATGACAAACGTGTTTTGTGTCAGATGTGACTCCAACCAATAGAGAGTTTTCTTTTTGATTCCCATTGATTCCAGTTTTCTTAGGGCTCTTTAATACCACACTCTCTCAGATGCTGCCTTGATGTTAGAGGCAATCACTATCCCTTCACCTCTGGAGTTCAGCCCTTTTTTTTTTCATGCTTGTAGTTTGGTCAGGAACTGAGTGGGCCCAGTGGAACCCAAATGAACACCAGTGAGCTGATTGTCTTTGAGTAAATTTGCTTGACACCAGTGTTGGTGACAGCTTCAATCAATTTACTGATGATTGAGAGTAGGTATTTGGCTGGGATGGATTTGTCCTGCTTTTTGTGTATTGAACATACCTGGGCAATTTCAACATTTTGGCTTGATCCCAATGCAGCTGAACTGGAACAGTTTGGCTAGGGACACAGCTGGTTCTGGAGCACAAGTCTTCAGTGCTGTTACTGGAATATTTTAAGGGACCATTCACAATATCCAGCAGCTTCAGCTATTTCTTGATTATCATTTGGCTGAAGGTTGGTATCTATGATCCTGGAACCCTCAGGTTGAGGTTGATGTAAATCATCCATTCAGCCACACCTCTGGCTGAAGATTGTTGCAAATTCTTCAGCCTTGTCTTTTGAGCTGATGTGCTGGGCTCTCCCATTATTGATGATGGCAATAATTGTCGAACTCCTTTGAATGAGTTTAATTGCCCAGCATCATTCAAAATTTGCTGTGACAGGACTGTAGAGCTTATATCCAATTTGTTGGTTCTAGCATTGTTTAGCTCTACACCTCATATGCTGCCTCTGCTCTTCGGCATATACAGTCCCCTATTACCAGATTAACACCACCTATTTATGTATGCCTGGTGCTGCTGCTAGTATGCAGACCAATACGCTTCATTGAAACAAGGCTTGAAGGTAATGATAGAATGAGGAATATGCTAGACAGTGAAATTACAGATAGTGATTGAATATACTTCTTCTTGATGGCCCAGAGTGCCTCACAGATTCATAATCTTGAGCTAATAGATCTGTTCCAGATACAGACAGTGAATTTGAAGGATTAGCATTATGACTTGATGAACAGAAATAAATACTGAAGGAGGAAGAACAGCGTTACTAATGCTATGGGACTGAATCATACTTTTTTAAGGTGCAATCAAACTTTGCAAAATCTGTGAAATTTAATTTTTTTTAAAAAATTTTCTCTGCAGACATGGAATGTGAATCCTGGTCAGTGGGCTCCGATCTAAAGCCAATCACATTGAAGCATGAAGCTCTCCTTTGTGATAGTAACTGCCTAGCTCCTTCTGTTACCTTAACAACCGCAACCACTTCTGTGGTCGATGTCGTGCTTGAGACGTACAAGTTGGACACGGCCCCTGTGACTGAGCCAGGTCTTGATGCACTTTCAAGTGGTGAGGTGAGCAGTACTCTTCTTGTCTCAGTTTGTATTTATGGAGCTCTCTCTAATCTCAAGCTTAAAATAAGAAGGCCCTCTCTCTGAATCTTGGGCTACCCTGAGTTTGCTGGTAATAACTGGACAATCGATTCTGCTGGAATTCTAATGATTTTAATGAAATTATCGCTACTGGGAAGGATGTATGTAAGTCAATAGTGGTAGCAGTAGAATTTGCTCAACTGTGACGCCTTTCCTTTTTACTTCTTATTATCCTTGCTAACTATCCTGAAACATGATGAATGGCTTACAAGCTTTGGTAGCACAGGTCTGTCTCCCATGTATCAGCATCCCAATGCAAATTAACCTTTGGGAGGATAAGGTTAAAATTGGAAACAGCAATGGCCTACCCCTGTTCCTCTTTGTACTTTTTTTGTAATTCATTCATGAGATGTGGGCATTGATGGCTAGGCCAACCATTACTGCCCATTTGTAATTGTCTGGAGTACACTGCATTGCTATGGGTCATGTAGGCCAGACCAGGTAAGGATGGCAGGTATTTTTCCCTAAAGGTCACTCATGAACCAGATGGATTTTACAAAAGTAAACAGTAAACATGGTTGCCTTTTCATTCCAGATTTTTATTGAATTCGGATCTCCCTATCTGCCATAATGGAAATCCAAACCCCATAACATTAGGCTGAGTTTCTGAATGAGTAGTCCAGACTAGTCTTATGATCATCTTAATTTAATTGTAAATTGGAATGATCACTAAGGAAGAATAGCCAGCTAAATCCCATTGAGAGTAAAACATGAACAAGGTCCACTAACGTCATTGAACCTGAGTAATTGCAAGTCAACTGCAAATTACTTTGATACTTCAAAGCTTCTATACAACTTTAAAATGAGTTATCAAGCTATAGGTTTTTGAGTGCCCTACCCATTAAAACTGCTGTGCTCAATCCAAAAGTACACATGCTTGCTGCATACTTGACAATATCATGTGCTTTAAAAAAAGAATATGCATACAGAGGAAGCACAAGAAAAATACAAGCCTGTCCTAATTCTCCCCCACAGTTTATCTCCAATCCCATCTATTGCCAGATGCATCCAATGTTTCCTGAATTGACAGGGGCTGTCTGCTTCAAAATCCTGTCTGGTAACTTACTGAACAGCTCTTCTGTGCTCTAGTCAAATATGTTCTGCCTGAGTTTTCCTAATATTAACCTAGTGTTTGGTGCTATTTGAACCCTTTGCCATACCTGATTTTCCTGGTCCAAGCTTGTCAGTTCCCTTCAAGATTTTGAGAATTTCAGTTATGATTTTGATGCCTTCTCCAAGGAAAATGATCTTTTCTAAAAATAAAAACCTCCCTCTTAAATTCTTGATTCTGAACATTGGAAATTTTGTAGCAAAATACTGTAGAAGCTAGAAATCTGAAATTTCTAGGAAGAAATGCTGGAAATACTTGGGCCAGGACACATCTGAGGAGAGAGGAAAGGTTAACATTTTGTCATAAAGTGCCTCAATCTGCAATTTATATTTTTCTAATGCATCAGGTTGGAATTTTTTAGAAATGTGAGATTAGAAGAATGATTAAGGAAAGTGATCCTGTCTCCATTGTGAAAGAATAAATAAAGATATTGAAGGTCCAGTCAATAATAAAAAAGAATCATTAATTAGATATAAGCAGCTGGGTTCAAATCAAATTCTTGAACAGTACAGAAAATGAAGGCATTCTTAAGAGGGAGATCAGGAAGGCAAAGATTATATGAGAGAACCTTATTTGTCAAGGCTCAGGATAATCCAAAGAGATTCTACAAGTATGTTAAGAACAAGACAGCAACTAGAGAGAGAGTAGGGACCCATAAAAATCAAAGACGTTGTCTGTGTGTTGAACCTCAGGAGATGGGCGAGATATTAAATGAGTATTTTGTGTCAAGTTTTTAACTGTGGCGGAAGAAATAGAGGCTAGAGAACTCTGGGAAATAAATATTGATGTTTTGAAAACAGTTCACATTACAGAAGAGGAAGTGCTGGAGGTCTTAGAAGATATAAAAATGGATACATCTCTGGAACCTGATCTAGTGTATCCCAGGACTTCATGGGAAGTTAAGGAGGAAATTGTGGGGCCCCTTACAGAAATATTTGTATTATCTATAAATATGGGTGAGGTGCTGAATGACTGGAGAGTAGTAAGAGAGGATGTAAGGAAAAGCCTGGGAACTATAGACCTGTGAATGTGACTTCAGTGGTGGATAAATTGTTGGAAATGATTCTGAAAGATGGGATTTATGTGTTTGGAGAGATAGGAATAGTCAGCGTGGTTTTGTGCAAGGGAAATCATGTCTCTCAAACTTGATTAAGTTTTTTGAGGAAGTAACTGAGAAAGTTGAAGTCAGAAGTCACATGACACCAGGTTGTAGTCCAACAGGTTTATTTAAAATCACAAGCTTTTGGAGCACTGCTCCTTCACCTGACGAAGGTGACAAACAAAGGCAAGACTTGTTTAATTTAGGCCCTTGGGTAGTATTGTAGAACAGAAAGACCTAGGAGTTCAGATACGTAATTCTTTGAAGCTTGCATCACACTTAGCAAACTTGCCTTCATTGCTCAGACCTTTAAGTATTGGAGTTAGGATGTTATGTTGAGGTTGTACAGGATGTTGGTGAGGCCTGTTCTGGAGGACTGTGCCTAATTCTAGTCTCTGCGTTATAGGAAGGATATTAATAAGCTGGAGAGAGTTCAAAAGAGATTTACCAGGGTGTTGCTGGGAAAGGACGAGTTGAGTTATAAAGAGAGGCTGATTAGGCTGGAAGTCTTTTCACTGGAGAATTGGAGGTTGAAAGGTGACCTTCTAGAGGTTTATAAAATCATGAGGGATATGGATAAGGTGAATGGCAGGTGTCTTTTCCCTAGGGTCTGTGATTTCAAGACTATGGGGCATATTTTTAAGGTGAGAGGAGAGATTTTTTTTAAAAAAACATGAGGGTCTTTTTTTTTTACATACAGAATGGTTTGTATGTGGGATGAACTTCCCGAGGAAGTGGTGGATGCAGGTATTGTTACAATGTTTAAAAGACATTTGGATAAGTACATGAATAAGAAATGTTTGCAGGGATTTGGGCCAAGCATGGGCAGGTGGGGCTAGTTTAGTTTAGAATTATGGTCAGCATGGACTTATTGGACTGAAGGGGTGGTTTCCTTGCTGTATGACTCTATAATGATATCCTTAATTAAATAGGTGAAATAACTGTACAGAGGCTGGTGCCCCATCACCAAATCGCCCTTTATTTACTAGTGCACAATACACTGGTTATGGCCAGCTAGCTCCGAGTCAGTCCTCAACGGAAGAGATTGTAAACTCCTGGTTATATTGGTCAGCCAAGGCTTTCGTCATTGGCCCAGGTTAACAACCCCAACCAAGAACTTCATAGTTAATGAGGGCCACCCGGTTTCAATCACTACAGAAGGTGACAAGAATTTAGAGAGGGTTAGAACTGTTGAAAAGAGAGAAATATTTAGCGTCATTAGATTAAATGGATACGTTTTGGAGGCAACTTTCACAAAGACATGTATAATGTTGATGTCCTATTTAAAACAGTAGCTTGTAATCATAATGATGTTAATAGATCAAGGAAAGCTAAAGATGAAATCATCAAGACCAAGGAGATAATTGTTGGTTGAGGCCATTTCCATTATTTGGATGTGAAGCGTGCTTCTGACCTGAGGCTTCATGAGGGTGTGTGCAGAGGGAGAAATGTATTAATATTTAATCGGGTTTGATGATTAGTTTAATTTGCACAAGTGAAACAAATCTATCCTGTAACAAATATGCAAAGCTTTAGTAGATGGGACTATGAATAATAATTCAATGCATGATATCTTAAGTTGACCCATACTAAGGTTGAAAACGACATATGATCCATCACATTAGTTCTACTGTTGAATCCATCAGAGTTTGCCGGTATGTGAAGGATATTCCATACATAATTAGTAAAGTCTCTTAAAGGAACTTAAAATCTTATTTATCTCATTACGTTCTTGGTTGTCAGGATGTACTGCTAGGAAACTATAGGCAGTGAGGGTATGCAGTTTGAAAGAAGAATTTTGGATTGTCAGCCACCGGAAGTATGGGTAAGGTTGTTGTTATGAGAGAATAGAGAGTTAATTGTGATGTACGAGTATTTGAAGACAAAGCTTAAGTTGAGGGCTTAAATGAAGTCAGATTTATTGAAGACCATAACATTCCTATTCAATTATAGCAGCCCAGCTGTAGATTCACCAAAAATGCTGCTGTTCAATCAACTACTCAGCCAACAAGGAACAACAGCAACTTGAATTCATTTGGCTGCCATGAATGCCTGACTATCGTGCAAACATTGGGAACCTCTTCAATGAGAGGGGTGAAATAATTAAAATACTCCTCAACCGTGTTTCGGTTTTCCACATTAGGAGGTTTCCACTGCTGATAAAAGCGTGTGTGGAAATGAAAGATGGAGGCTCTGCCAGATCTTATGAAGTAATTATTTCTTTCACATTTGTCAATTGATGGGCTTCAGTTGATGTTTAAGAATATACGTAGTTTTATATACCACACCTATTGAAGCATGAATGAGATTAATACGATAAAAACTGCTTTATAGGTGCCGATGTTTTATCCTGGAGGTGGGGAGGGTAATATTGCTCTTGTTTCATCCTTTGTTGGGCCGTTATGATGCTTTTGAAGTGCAAATCCATCACTTGGTGCAAGAGACGGGTTTTAAAAGCTGCTATGAGTTTTACCCAGTTAAATTTAAATGGCCTCTTGATTATAAGACTTTTCTACCTTTTTTAGGCTATGTCCTGGTTAAAAGGGAATGTCAGCTTGTGATGTACTGCTAGGCTATCTCCAAGCTTTCAGTTGTAAGTTCTACTGTTTCTAATTTACGATCATGTCTTTGGATCAGAAGACATTTGTTCCAGAACTAACCACACCCCTATCCAAGCTATTCTTGTATGGTTACAACATTAGTGTCTACGTA